GTGAAATAATAATAAATTAATTAATTCTTGATTGTCAGTAATCGAATTAATTAATGGACATTATATCTTAAACGTGAGGAGGTAAATCGAGTAATTATTATTGGAGTCTCAAATGTAATTTGGGCTAGGGAAAGGGAGTGCAATAATATAATGTTGGTGGCCCATTAATATTATTTAATTAATTAGAGGAGTGGGTTTGACCCACAGTTAGTTTAATTAATTAAGGAGCCATTTTCCTAATCTCCTTAGGGTCCCTACTGTAGCTCTATATATACATCATTAAGCTCATGAGAAGAGAACAGAAGTCTCATTCTCACGTGAAACACGCCTCTCTCTAGATCTCATTCGAGCTTTATCTTCTTCTTGTTGCTCCACTGGTACAAGTTGAAGAAGGGTGTATTGAGTAATACAGTAGAAGATCTGTAGGTAAACCGAGACGAAATAGATTTTGATCTACAGAACTAACCGGAAGTCCGATTGAGACGTACAGTATACCCAGACGACCGTCTCGACGAGAGCTTTCCATCGCTGCCGACGTCGCCGGAATCCGACGCCCCACGAGCCCTCACGCGCCGCCGGAAGGTGTCTGGCAGCAAAATTTCGTTTTGATCTGTTTGCATCCGTTTGATCCAGTTTTGATCTGATCTTGTTCGTGCAACCCAAGACGCGTGTTGCGGTCAATCAATTGCGGTCAACCGTTCGTGGTCAACTAGATCTACATAAATTTTAAGCCGTAAGTTCTCTACGTCAAACCTTTAGATCTGCTGCGCATAGGTTTACGTTTGCTATTGAATTCGTGATTTGTACATAACGAGATCCTCACAAATCCCAACAAGTGGTATCAGAGCACTTGGTTAATTCGTTTTGTACAAAGTTTGATTTTTTACGGCTTTATTTGACAAGATGTGTTCAGACGCAGCCATATATTGGATTATATTTGCATAACTCGGTTTTGCAGGAAAATAGTTAATCCACTATTATGGCCGATTATGTGTTTGATGAATGTTGTTGAATGTGATGTATGGTTTTAAATTTGTTTTTAAAGCCTCGGGCATGTCGAGAAATTTATGGATGAATGTTTGTAATAATTATTCGCCCGGGGGTTGAGCGGATAGATTTAATTATTTGTTTAGAAAACATGTACATCCATTCGTTGGATCTAGGATCGAATTATGTAATTTTGTAAATTATATTTTTCGTGTTGTGATCGTGTGTTGATAACCGGGAGATCACAAGAGATCAACGAGCCTCGAAGAATTAAAATAAAAAAAGGGAAACGGCGCGTTTTTCCGACCACTGGC